CTCTTTTATAGGCAGCTGCCAATAACCTGACCGCAAATCCAACACTGTAAACACCGTGGCATTCTGCAGCCGATCTAATGTTTCCACTACTGTTGGCATTGCACACGGCTTTAGTTCTGTTATATTATTCAGTTCTCTAAAATCAACACAAAATCTATATTTCCCATTCGGTTTCTTTACCAAGAGTACCGGTGAGCTATACGGGCTGTCCGCCTCCTCAATTATTCCTTCTTTCAGCATCTCTTGGACCTGTCGATTTACTTCGGCCTCTAAGTGCACAGGGACACGACGTGTTGTGAATATACTTCCTCCATTGTTCTTTATCGGGATTTCGTGCTTTACTTTGTCGCAAAATCCGTACGGTTCTCCTTCTCCAGTAAACAGTTTTGCATACTTTTTGCACAACTCGGTTATGTTTGGTTTCTTCGTCACAACGGCTGTTGCCACTCTAACCTCAGCCACCTCACTACTTTCATGTATTGAGAATGAACCGTACTTCGTGACCACCTTACCGCTTCTTAGGTCAACTATGGCTTTTACTTCTCTTAGGAAATCTGCTCCTAATATTGGTCTCGACAGGTTTGCGGTTACCACGAACGGAAAACTTATCTCCGAACCATCCACTTTTACGATACTGTTAGACACGCCCAATACCTCTAACATATGCCCTCCTATAGTATGAACTGCGACTTTACACGGCTTAAAACTTTTACATTGCTCTTTACCTATTAACGAAACTGCTGCCCCTGTATCGATTAGGCACACTAAATCTAGTTCATTTACGTTCACTCTTGCATAGACTGCCCCTCTATCTACTAATGCAACAACCCCCAGATCCCTAGAGTAAGAAGAAAACACGTAACGTCTAAAATATCTCCGTTTTCGTCGTGTTGGACAGTTTATCTTCCAGTGTCCTGTCCCTCCACATGCGAAACACTTATCATTCCTTTTTCGAATCACTCGTAATGCCGCAATCTCGTGCTGCAGTTCTTCAATCTTCTTCTCAATGCTGCTTATCTCCTGACTTCCGCACGCGACCGGAGCTACTGTTTGTGTCATCAACTGTCGCGTCACCTTTGCAAGCTCACTGATATCCATAGGTTGCGCGGCGTGTACCAGTCTCAGCTGCTGGGAAACGGCAACAGGCACGCTCTCGATAAACTGAGACGCCAACAACTGTGCCTCCGACTCCTCATCCAGATTTGGCAGCGCGCGACGCAGCAACTTGGTAAGCTCCACGGTCAGCACCAGCGGATCACCATCGATCGGCAACTTCGCCACTCGGAACTTCTGCAGTGCTTCCTCTCTGTCCACTGGGCTATCGAACTCCACGGTCAACCGCTCCGTGACTGCCTCCCATGTCGTCTTACCGCCCGCACCGTCCAGGCTGTCATATACAGCTTTCGCTCTGCCTCTCAGCAGCGTCCCCAGCACCACCGTCTTCGCCTTCGGCTCCGTCACCCCCACCAGCTCCGCCACAGCTTCGAACTCCTTCAGGAAGCTCAGCACATCCCCGTCCTCAAATTCCTTCGGCCATGGAATCTTCATCCCTGGAGGCAGCGACACCAAATGTTGTGAATGAGAACACGGGTGAGGACAACCAACTATATATTTAGCGCAAATTACAACGTTACTTGGTAAAATACAAAAACCATGCTATGATACACTATTTGCAAAATGTTCTTCAATTGCCTCAGACTTCATTGTTCCTGGATTTCCACACAAATTGCTTTTATTTTCTGTTCTTCTCTTCTTGATCTTCTCAATCTTCTGCTGTCAGATATTCTATTCCTTACTCACCATATATACTACTTATATCGATATCAGTAGCTCACACCACATTAGAAACAGATAAAGTTTATTAAGCCAAATAGCTTACTTGTTTTGACTTTGGCGAAACCAAGACTCTGTATTCGATAGTTTAGAGAATAGCTTAAAGTTACCCCTGTAGGAAATTGCTTCCTACAGTTACACTCAGTGAGTCCTGAATAGAAATCAATGAGAGGAAAGGCAACGAAATCTTTAGTAATTAGTGGGCTAAGTGCCTGTTTGTCCATGCTTAGTCATATTTTACTTTCACTACCATATATCAAAATTATATTAATTCTGATCCGCCGAGAGACATTAAAGACAACAGTCATTGATTCATAGTGAGAAATATGAAAGTAATTCCAAAAATTCAATATTAGTATATATTCATAATTAAAGTTAACTGACGTAACAACAACAACTACAGTAGTCTACACTCAATCCATGAAAAAGATCAGTCATAAACAATTCGTTTGTATTGGTTGTTAAAATCTTTCCATTGAAGTTTAGGACTGCTATTGATCAGACTTTTTCGTCATATATGCATACTGTGCGTATTGCCTTGATATTGCTATTAAGTCACAAGCACTTCTAAGCAGTGGAATCCATAAACCGCGTTTCATTCTGGCTAATTGTACCTGCATCCCAGAGTGAACATGCACTATGGTATGACGAAACGCGGGTCCACGATTCTACTTTCACCCACTACTCATCTCTTCTCATAGTCATAAACACTATTATTCGATAAGAAAGAATCCAACTTTTACATATAGCAGAAGCCATAGGAATACACATCAAAAAATCTAGCCTTTCCATACAGAAAAAGTACATACAACCTTTGAATCTACTTTGGCCTTCTTTTTAGACATCACTACATGTTTAAGATTTTTCGTTCTCTTCTCTTAAAATCTTCCGAACCTCGATCTCATTAACATCTTAATTTCTAATTCTAGTCTTATATAACATGTTTATTAATTATATTATCTAATTTTCACTGTACCCGTCCTTACTCCCAATGGAGCATAGACCGAAAGTAAGTGACTGGTTAGTGTTTTTTTAGCGAGTTGGTTTTCTACGGGATGGGGTCGCCAACCCCATGCCCAACCCTCCTCCTTTATCCGGGCTTGGGACTGGCAGTAGCCCCCGGAGGAGCTACAGGCGGAGTTACTGCACCCGTCCTATTAATTACTAATCATTAATTTCACAGATAATAAAAAAAACGTATTTGCATCCAATTTTAATCATGTAACTACTTATAATAATCAGCTGATTATAAAAATTTGTTTTGGTTTTATTTTACCAAACGTCATGCAACTAACTGATTATCATTTTTCTGAATTGACTAATCACCATCTAATTGGTATAGACTTTCTACTAACTTATAAAACATACACATATTAAGGAAAAAGAAGGATCCTGAAATACAATACAAAGAGCGCCAACCCAATCATATTTGGTAGAAAAATTCTAGAAAAGATGGAAAATTTCACGCATCTGGGTAGCATTATCAATAAACATGGAGGATCCGATGCAGATGTAAAGTCAAGAATTGGTAAAGTAAGGACATCATTCCTACAATTGAAGAACATATGAAAATCAAAACACCTGTCAACGAATATCAGAATCATCAGTACGAATGTCAAGATAGTTCTACTGAGTGGAGCTGGAAATTGGAGAACTACAACGACTATCATAAAAAAGTACAAGTATTTATAAACAATTGTCTACTCAAGATACTCAATATCCGTTGGGCGAATACCATCAACAACAGGCTACAGTGGGAGAGAGCGAACCAACTTGCAGATGAAATCAGGAAAAGGCGATGGAAGTGGATAGATCATACATTACGGAGATAATCAAGTCGCATTACATGGCAAGCGCTAACATGGAATCCTGAAGGGAAACAGAAAAAAGAAAGATCAATGCCTCAAGCATTGGAAGCCGACATGTAAAGGATTGTTCAGGACAAATTTCAATGAAGAATGGCCCCCAAATGTTCTGGTACGGCCGAAAGTGGGGAAAGTCAGCTTTCCCTCTCGAAATGCTCTAACATGGCCACGCGAATATACAGCCTCTGACAGGGAAGTCCTACTCACTGTCTTCTAGTGGCGGGGATGTTGTTTACGAAATTGAGAGGACGAGAATTGAGTGTCCGACGCTTTAACCGGGTCGGTGGTGAACAAGGAGGGTTCACCAACGAAAGTTAGAAAACCCTGATTCCAAATTAATAGTGAACATGGACTCCAGTATCCTGAAGGAACAAACGGCGTATGAATCAATCGTTGATCACCGGTTATCATGGAACTGCATCTCCTCACGATGCTCCACTGCACTACCTTGTGGATTAGACCTTTAGGTCAAAGGCTCCGGATGTGGCCTCCTACGGAAACCACCTGCTTCACTTTGTTCACTTGGGCAGTATCACAACCCTCACACAAATCAAATGAGAATGCTGGCAAGTGACCTATGCTCCTCCATGAGGGGTAACAGGCATAAGTAACTAAGAGCCTTGATGAAGAACTCATTGAAAAGAAATATTTCTTGGCTTAAAATTTGCTCTTTTAAAAAAAATTTTCAATGATAATATTTAACAAAAATCCCGAATAGAATTCAAGATCACATTAATTACAATGATCATGGTGATAATATCCGATACAATAATAGTAATAATAATGTTTCCATATAGTTTCAATGAATGAAAGTAAGTAAGTGTCTAAATGATTACATAATCATTGGGAATGATTAAAAATAAAAAAGTAACATAAAAACAAGTTTTCCTTGAAATTTAAAAAAAAAGAAAAAAATACACATTAACATTAAGTTTTGTAAATCATTTTATCAATATTAAAGATAAAAGGGGGAAAATGTACATTAATGAATTAGAGAATGCTGGTCGGTAGCCTATACTCCATTGGGAGTAACAGGCGTAAGTAAGTAAGTAAAGTATAATAAGAAAACAAACAAACAAGAAAACCAAGCTCTGATTTGATAATTTTAAATAAATTGAGCATTGGGTAGATTGTTATAAATAAATAAAAATATATTTGTAATATCCCAATGAGTAGAAAAATTAGATTTTCTGATGTTTCGTCACTCAGTGTAAGCCACTTCTTCAGAGAATAAATAACCTAGATCAAAATTAGTCCAAGTTTAAGTAGTACAACGGAACAACGCACGAATATTAGGATTGATCACCTAATATTCGTGCGTTGTTCCGTTGTACTACTTAAACTTGGACTAATTTTGATCTAGGTTATTTATTCTCTGAAGAAGTGGCTTACACAGAGTGACGAAACATCAGAAAATCTAATTTTTCTACTCATTGGGATATTACAAATATATAATTTATTTATTTAAAACAAGAAAACCGGTTAAATGAGAATACAATTGAAATGTATCATTATGATCATCATCATTTCTATAGTCACCATGGTTTATATTAAAATAGGAAAGAACAAGATTAAAAGTAATACAGATATATTCCATCATGTATTTGTACATATAAAAGATTGTATATATATATATATATATCTTATATTGATAATAATTATGAATCAATTAGGAAGTAATCATTGCAATTATCCTCATTATGATTATTACTATCTAATTAATAGATGAGTAATTATTCCATGATTTTGTATGAACAATAGATGTCTTCTTCAATAACTGTTCATGTTCTTGATCAATAGATGATGGACAATTAGAATGACTGAATATCCCGCTAAATCTATTATCATTATGATCATTATTGTCATCATTATCATCATCATCATCATCATAATCACTAGAATCAAAAGTATCTGTATGATCAAGTGAATATGGTTCAGAGAATTCACTTCTATCTTGTATATCCTCTTCTCTAATTATTATTGAATCCATAGAATTTGGACAACATGGTAATAAAGTTATATCTAATACACGATTATGAATTAATGTACCAATAATGAGTAAGGCAAAACCATCGACTAAAAATTTTAAAAAAATAATTTTACAAAAATTAATGACAAGTATAAAACTTGTATTCTATTATGCAAGTACAGGTTTACGAAATGGAGACATATTTTATATGTATGACAGCTAATTATCGAGAATATTGGCACTAATAGAAGTCATTATAATGTTTGTGTATGGATAGAGATGTTGATTGGCTGCCCAGATCGATGTTCTTTTTAAGAAGTCACTCTCCGAAAGTTTGATATAGATACCTACTTTATAAAGTAGTGGAGTGACAACAGGAAATATTGTCTCATGGTAGCCGGTAGAGTTGCTGACTCTATACCCAACCTTCCTCCTTTACCCGGACTTGGGACCAGAAGTAATCCTAGGAGAGGTACAGGTTAAATTGCGTCGAAAATTGGAGGCAGACATCAAAAGAATGATTAGCAACTGGAAAAGATTTCACAGGAAAGAGTTCGATGAAGAATGTTGAGGAGCAGCCTATGCTCCTCCCACAAGGGTTAACAGGCATAAGTAAGTACACAAATGATAATTCATTATGGGTTTGTTACCTTATTCATTTTTGGATTCTGTATACCTTTAATTATTGTGTAGATACTTTTTGATTACCGAAATAAAGATGGAGGATTTTTGGATTTCGTGATTTTTCAGTGTTCAATTCAAAGCTTTCTAATCTTTTACTCAAAAAAAAACTGTGGGAGGATATAGGGTTAATGAAAATACTTGCCCATTACATGTTAACATTTTATTTCTCTATTATATTCCTGATTCTTCAAAATCATATGCATTTTCTTCAATGGTATACCTTTTGAAATTACTCATTAAAAGATACATGAATATTGTATCAAAACTCAGAAGTCCTTATCTCGAACCTAAGTGTTTTGAAAGCACATTAAATTTTCGTCAGTATAGTTGCAGTATATTTTTCTCCAGTCGCTTACATGTCTACCTTTATTGAATCGCAGTTTTTTAAAACTGCAAATCACCTCATTATAAGCAAAGATGGATAGTGGCTAGCAGTGGAATCCAGGACGCGCGACACTTCGTCCGATTTGGGACTCGTCAACTGGATGCACCTGCATCTCAGAGTTGATGTTCACTCTGGGACTCGAACCCACTACTTTTCGCTTCAAACGCCATATTTGTGCATTAAGGCAATATAATATCGAGGCAATACGAACAGTATGTACATATGCCAATAAGAGACTGACCAGTTGCAGTCCTAAACATCAATGGGAAGATTCAAACAAACAATAGTAAGTGAATGCAAATCACCTCATTCATAACAAAAATGACAAGATATTTTAACTTCATAACAGTTATGTAATGTTTCTAACTCAATATATGGCTAATGACTGTTGTAGAAAGAATAATTCATTTATTACTATGTACTATGTACTATGATTAGTATACAGGCAAAGAAGGAAAATTCAAGTATCACTAACTTTCAATAAGACCCCATCCAATGTTGAATGGTTCTCCATATGGCGGACCGATCCCATAGTATAAAATTAAACTGCAAATCCATACCAGTGCAGTACGTAAAGAATCTATCAATGTTCGGTGGATAGCTAAAATATTAATGAAAATTCATGAGTATCTATAAGAATTTAGTATTAAAAAGTATCGTGTAGAGTAGATAGGCGTGAGCCATCAATTCCCACTCTAATCAGATTCCATATGACTTCGTTTAGTGAGACAATTGTATCCCCTGTATCAGTTAAGGTGAAGTATATTCAGCGAGTTTTTACAGCCAATCAGAAGCGAGTGAGTGGTTCAAGGTCACCGTGCCTATTTCAATACACAATGCTCACGTACGTCTAGTTTACAGCCGATTTCAAGAAGGACGTTACAGTTAAGCGGATACAACAGATGGAATTACTGAGCAGATACTTTATTTGTGATTTCAGTGTTCAAATGACTATTGGACATTGTGCAGACTATTGTGACAGTGTTGTGTTTCGATGTAATATATGCTAGAGATAAAAAGGCTTGCTAGAATGAGTACTTTTTTCGCTCGATCTCGATCGACACTAAAACATTATGATAATTCTTACAAACTGCATGATAAAAGCACCAATAACACTGGTTGCAACGTTAGCAGATGTTACTAAAGCCTCCGTAGTTCAATGGTACAAGTACTTTCGAAATATGTGCAATGAAAATGGCGAGCTTGCATCAGTCATTTGGAGGAATCGTGAAAATTGTAGAAATCGAGGAAACGGTCGTTATAAATTCAATAGAGGAAGAAGTGTTAAAGAAGACTGGGTAAGTAGCACTTCCTTAAATATACTTAGCATGTCCTTGGTATATGATAGATCATCTCAAAAGGAACACTTTCAGCGCGGTAGAAACCAACAAGCTAAAATGATAATACCAATTATACAGGAGTATGAGCAGCCGGATACTACAGTATACACGAATCACTAGAGAGCATATCGATGCTTATCTAAACTCGGTTAAGTGAGTCGTATCATCGTTCACAAGCGACATTTTGTAGACCCTACCAAAGGAGTACACACCGATAATATAGACGTGATGTGGTCAAGGCTAAAAGAATTTCAGCGACCTTATCATGGCTCAAGAGGTCAACTATTATGGAGTCACATGGGTGAGTTTCAGAACTGCAAAGCCTCTTTCTAATCTTGAAAGGTTCTTAAACCATTTTAATTAAATGTATCCGCTCTAACTTTTTAGTTTTGTTTAACATATTCTTACACTATATCGACTGATTTCTGACTCGCTGAAATTTCTTAACGTTATTCAACACTTGTTCAAAGGTCATTCATAGAATATGGTCTCACCAATTAAATCTGATTAGAAACTTCATTTTTTGATCAAACTTACAACTAAGACTTCGAGCAATTGATAGACCACAATAGTTAAATATTGCAATAGAAAATACATATATAATACAATTGCCTAATAGAATATAATTATTTCCAATTTGATAAATTGCATCAATAACATTTTCATATGAACCATTTAAATCATTGCCAGGAATAAAATGAACAGCTGGTAGCACAATCTAAGTAATAAATAAATGATACAAGATGTATATAGATATATTCATAATGGTTATGTTTACATAATCACTAATAAGTTGTAACATAAAATACAAAGTCTAACGTGGTAAAATAGTTACAATTCTGTATAATTAACTTAATTAGTTTATTTTATATAGTTGAGATCATGAGTCAATTAAAGCTAGACCACCATGGAAAATCTGGAAGTACTGCTTCAAGGCCGTTTCGTCCCATTGTGGGACTCCTCAACAGTGCGCATCCACAATCCCGTTTCGCGAGATTTGAACCCAGAACCAATCAGTCTCGCGCCCGAGAACTTAACCGATAGACCACTATATGAAATTATTAAAATCTCTACGAAACCCCCTTTTGTTAATTAGTTCAAGTTATCAACCATACTTTAAAATATTATACAATATAATATATTAAGAGAGAAACAAAGGATATCATTTATATATTATTAACTCATTTGCCAGATAGATACAGATTGGTGTAACTGACTTTGAACTACACATGGTGTATAAGGACTAGTGATACTCTTCCCGGTTGCATACACTGAAGTAGGTGGAATGGGGTTTGAGTCAGTCAGTCAGTCAGCTACAACGTAGGACCAGGCACATATATCCATCGGTCCAAGTTGCCATACCTCGTTAGTACAACAAGATCAACACCGGATTCATAGAAGCACTTAATTTAGCAGTGGTAGTATATAAAAGAAAGGTTGTATATAAGGATATAGTATAGGAAGGAAAAACGTTATGAAGCAATTTTAATATCAAGGTTTAAGGGAAGATAAAGAGTGTATACACTTACGCCATTTTGATCGATTTTGAGCCATGTCACACAGTCTCCAACCATTGGTTACGATGGTCGCGTGGACCCCAACCAAGTAGTCTGCATCTGCCAACATGGCTCAGACTAGAAGTTAGTGACTTCAAGCTCTGATGCCACGTTTTGGTTTGGCCGTCCCTAACTCTCTTCCAACCATTGCCAATACTAGTCAGCATAGCGCGTCGTAGTAATCGGTGTTCAGGCATATGTAACACGTGGACCAACCTTCTCAGTTGACGAAGTTTCACAGTCTCATCAACTGATTTACCATCATTCCCTAATACCCTGCGTATAACCTCACTATTACTTACCCGCCAATCCCAGCAGATGCGAGCAATATTTCTAAGGCATCTGTGGTCAAATACTAGTAACTTACGTGTGGTTTGAACTTGAGATCTATTGACCGGATATCAAATCTCTTAATCTTCGAGCAATTACTCCGTAACAGTTTAAAACAATTTACTTATACAAATTTGAAGAAATAATATGATTTAGTGAAGAATTCCGATCTCTGAGGATAAATAATGATTTATATGGATGATATTTTAGTCATTTTTGGCAAGAATGTTAACTTAATTAAAATTCTATATTTTAATATTTCCCATCATTACTTAGATTTCACATTAGAAAACGAAAGAGGTTATTCTATCTGGATTTTCCAAGTGTTTCTGACAAAGAGTGATGGATTCCTGAAAACGATAATTTATAGAAATCAAACATTGAATAGTCGGTTAACCAACCTCTATTACTGAGTTCCATTAAGTGGACACAGAAATCCAACTGATTCTTTGTTATTGAATACGTAGGATATGAATTGCTGCATCAGCTGAGGAAGAAATTGATTTTCCCAGAATACGACAATTCAAGCAGATTAGTAAAGAAAAATCGGAACAAAGACTCGAAGAATTCCGTTATACAGAAATGGCTTTACATAAATCTAGAACTAAAAGTTAGGCAAACTTTTGATCTCCTTCACAGTCGGTTGTTTACAGCAACTGAAGAGCTCTATAAAGCAAAACTATGACTACCACTCACAGACAAGAATCTTTTCTCCGTATCAGTACAGGGTAAGCATAAGCGTTCGATCGCTACATAAGCTGTAGCCAGCGCCTGCTTTAAACACGATACGAGAACATAGCCAGGTACCGTTATATATATATATATATATATATATATATCATCAGTCAGACAGGGGAACTAAAAATCTGACACAAGCAGAAATCAACTTACGCCACACATTAAAATGCATCCAAAGATCCCTTCCATACCAACAGCTTGTAAAGGATGGAAGCCACGTTTTTTCAGAAAAACCTCTTCTATTATCATTTGTGTAGCAGAAGTGAACGCACCGGCTAATACTAGTATCAATCCTATTTTTAAATAAAAAAGAAATTGGTTTATATAGAGAATAACTTTGCTAAACTTGTATAAATTATAATTATTATCAGAAGGGGTTTTGTGGAGATTTCGTATTTTCATAGTTGAAAGCGTGAATCAATTGAAGTTAGACCACCATGGAAAACCTCGAAGTATTGGACGGCCGTTTCGTCCTATTGTGGGACTCCTCAGCAGTGCGCATACACGATCCCGCACTCGCGAGGTTCGAACCCAGGACCTACCGGTCTCGCGCCAGAGCACTTAACCGATAGACCACTGAGCCAGCATCCAATGGTGTTGATGTCTAACTTCAACGGCCGTCCAGTGTTTCCAGGTTTTCCATTGTGGTCTAGCTTCAATTGACTAACGCTTTCAACTATGATAAATTATAATTGAAAAATAACAACAATAAATCCTACAAACTGGTCGTTTTCGAGTTAATTGAAACTCCATGTTCACAGTGAGAAATTAAAGTCAATGGATATGATATCGACACCACCTCTGAGACACTACAAAACATGAGATTTGTATTCATCATTTTTAATGTTTCTATGACAACTGAACGAGACAATTATGACTTTTTAATATTTGTATAAACAAACAGAAATCAGTAGTTATTTTATAGTGTTATGGGTATCCCATTGAATGACATTTTTGGACAGTAAAAAAGAACACAAATATTTCATTTGTCAGTTAGTCAATGGTCTTTACTTCACGATACATGGGAGAAATTGTACTGTACAGGAGTCTGACAGAATTAAGCCGTTCCCCTAAAATAACCAGCATTTGCAACGATAGTGTCTTCTTATTACGAAAGGGATGAGAAAATGTCAACCCTATAAATGTCACACCTCACCTTACTTTATGAATTTCCGGCTTGGGCGACAAGGCCCTCTGGAGTACGAAACTAACACATGAAAAACTTTTACAAAAAAGCCGTACGTGACAAGCATTAGACAGATGTCCCTTGAGCTCTGGAGCCATCCTCATAGATCTATAAGACCACTAATAATTAAGTTTTCATTACAAGTCCCTCAAGAAGAAGAATCCATCCACGATGCGGACATCCGGAAAGTGACGATCGTCCTTATACGTCTAACGGTATCCAGGGTCCTCTTGTTCACTGTCGGATTCCTCTATCACCTCAATATTTCTGTCCTGACGAATTACTCTTCCTATTGACTTTATCGCCATGCGTCACTAATGGTAACTATCCGAGTTCACGGGATTTTATTCCTGGTCTTCTGCAGCAACCCTCTAAATTACATGTCGGACTTATCAATGTTCGAACCAAATACGACACCAGGCTTCCTTATTTAAGACTCTAGAATCTTATCCTATCGATTTACGACGTCTTGTAAACAGACATACAAAGTTCAAGGACAGTTATTCACTAGACATCATCTGGTCAATACAGAAAACCGGAGATTCACCCTGTGTATTTATGGCCTTGACTACAACTTCTCATGACCTAGGTAGCGTAGACATAGAACTATATTGAGAACCAGAACAAGCTCTCCAGGTATCGCGGATGTTAACTCTTCAAACACATTTAGAAGGGAATCAACTTTTAAATTCATACATTCATTAACTTTCAGTGCGTTCAATAGTATTGATTCATGTCATATGAAGATAATTTATGGACACAAACCCATCAAATATTAATGAAGTTGAAAAGGCCATAGGTAACCTCAGGCGGAGGAGAGCAGTAGACTATGATAGATTAACGCCGAAGATGTTTGAAGATAGAGGTCCAGTTTTAGCTGCTAAACGGACTGAGATAGTAGCTGGAGCTTGGGAGCATAACATAATTCCATCTTGCAGGTTTCGATTGTTGATCGCCCCATTTCACAAGAAAGGATAAGAATCTTATCGGAACAACCATGAAGGAATCAGTTTGATCAAAACAATATCTAAAATATTAGTCTCAGTAAACATCCAACGCCTAATCAGGACTAGCGAAGAAAAAACCAGGCTGGTTCCTAACTTGAGAGTGGATTTATGGATCAAATATTCGCCACTCGTTAAGTTCCGGAATAGAGATATACCTCTTGACGTCTAATCATAGTTGTATTTTTCGAACTTGGGGCAGTATTTGACTTTGCTGATCGAGAGGTTTTATAGCGATGTTTGTCATTAAAAGGAGTAGCAAAGAATTACGTGAACCATGTACAGGCTTTCTACTCGAACACTACTGATCGAGTTAGTGTCTATAGAAAACTGTTATCAAAACTCTCAACCTCAAGTGAGTTTTTTAAAGGTTGTCCACTTCCTTCATCTTTATCTAACTCTGTCATAAACATTCTTTTAGAGGTAATGCTCTTATAGTCTGACTTTTCAAGAATTGATCTACTACCGAGAGGTTCACTTGCTGAATTAGGTTACACAGATAAAAATAGTTCTATCTCGCGAAGACTCGGACAAAACACAGTCTTCTGATTGCTTTGAGCAATAATACAAACACGTTTGGGATGCGATCCTGTCTCTCTAGATGTAAATTGTTGCTTCAGAACTAGTCTGGGTCAACGCCCAAACGAATGATGGAAAATGAAAAAGTTGCGCGCGCCGACCACTTCCTTTATCTTGTAAGTCTGATCACCCTTGATGGGTTGGTGTTGGATCAAATCACGGTATGAATTCAGAAAGTTCGGTTGGCTTTTGCCAACTTACATCACTTTTGGTTTAGTTGGAGTTTTATTCTCTGAGCTAGATGGTTTGGTCATAGAGCTTTCAGTGTTCTTCTGAACAACACCATCACAAACTTCAGGTAGAAGTGAGGTGTTCGAATTTCTCCACATGTGACTTACAGCTTGTCCTGTCGACCTCGATTTTGATCGGTTAGTGTTGACCTTTAACTTGTCATTGTCTACTTCCTTATTTTGATTGTATCTCCCATTGATTTGATTCTCTTTCCTATATTTGTCCACAATTTTTCTGATTGGTTGATAGATTGGATCGATTTCAATGTGTTTGTTGATTGCTGATTGATCCGAATGCCAAGCTTCTAAAAATTACCTAGTGCTTTTAGTATTCCCTCTATCGAAGATCTCAATATTTTTCCAGTCTAATTTGCATCCAAAGTTGTCCACATGCATTGACATAAGTGAGGACATGTCATGGCGTTTAACCGCTAATTGATGTTCGTGCAGGCGAAGATGAAGGGAGGGTCAATTTTGTCCGATGTAGTGTTTTTCACAGTTGGAGCAACTTATTTTGTAGATGATAGTTGGGTTTTCGGTGTAGGCGAAATATTTGTCTAATAACCAAAGTACGAGTTTGCTGAGCAGCAGTTCGCTTTATGGGTGTGAAATATAGCCATCTAAAAATAGGTGTTCTCGAGTCACTAGTACTAGTGTGCGGTTATGGGTATCTTCAAGACAGTGCTCGTGTATACTGGGACCACTGAGTGATCACTGTTAAGGTTAGGCATAGGGTACTATGTAAGAATGGCAAGTCGATCGATGAGGGTGAATATTCATCAATTGAGGTGGTTGTGAATTGTGTTACGTGTGTCAAACCTAAATGTGGCATCAGTCCATGGGATCACTGCTAATTGGACTGAGTCATAGAATTAAGTGTATACTATATGGTTGGGGTCGTTAAAGATTTCGGTTGTCATTACTCAGAATTTTATGAAATGGCTTGGGTGCATTCACTTTGTCTTTCTTTAAATCCCAAATCATGAAGTCTCCTATACTTATATTTCTTTACATATCTAATTTTTACTAATACTAAAATTATTACGATTTCTAGTACTTTGAGATTTATCTCGGTAATTTTATTAGTGTACTGGTGTCGTGCAGAAAATTAAATCGATTTACACATGAACCACGTTCTACGTTGCATGCGACTGACTTCAACGTTTTTTATATATGACCCATAAACTAATTTCTCACTGAACAGTACTAGAGAGTCAATGAAATTTTTTTAAGACTTATTATTATTGGTATACTCACTGCCAAGCAAAAATTAATTAGTCACTTACGTGATCACTTGTTATCCAGTTATATATTAAATTAATTATTGAAACAGCATTAACTGATGCGGACCCGTCATAACAGTCCATATGTTTATCGAATGTCTTATTAGAATTAAACACTGAAATGATTTCTAGTTACATAAAAGATATACAAAATTATAACATCTAAATTAAGTAATGTACCTATTACTGACTGTAAAGTGGTTGTTTTCACTGAATTTCCACTGAATACAGACTTTGAGCCAACAAGAGCCAATCCAAACACAGTGATCGAAATTCCGGTCCACTGAAAGTAACGCAAACGCCGTTTGAGAAATATAACCTGAAGGAATGGAAGTAGTAAGGTGTGACATAGAATTCACGTCTTCAACAATTCGAAACAGGGAAAAAACAAATAGGAATTTTAAAAAATATTGTTATGGATACGCAATGATTACTGTATTCTACCTCTATCTCTCTCCCCCTAACAATAATAATGAAAATGTAACTTATTTACTAAGTACAGATTTGTGATCGAATTCAAGGTATATTGTTTGTCTATAGGTTAGAAGAACTAACCTGTTGACCAAACTGTAGTACATGATGCGGGGTTCAAACTTTAGAGTTGCTTGTTAAAGTCCAAGTGAGCTAACAATTAGCTTCTCTGTAAATAAAGACAGATTAGCTGAGATGGCCGAGTAAATGTATATGTAGTGGTTATGACAATGCACTTGGAAACTAAAACTAAATAACATATTGTCCTATTTGATAGATCCTCAGAAATAGGATCTAATGAGTTATCGTGAGATTAAACTCTAGACTTTCAAACTAATTGGCACTCAATTTGACTCTTCAGCAACCGAATGTGACTTCTTTTATATAGTAGGCGTATTTTAAGTAAAAGAATCACCTTTTGCACGGATGTAAATGGACGGGTCGTTGAAAACATTAAGTATCCAGTCATGAAAATGCCTGTCTAGACTTTATTTTACACTCATTTGTTATTTTCAGCGGTATGTGATCATGAAATGTCAGAGTTCCTAAGGTTTAAAGCCAATCTTCTCCAAATCTAACCCTAGTTAGTCGATTTATTATCCTATATCAGTACTTTCTGACCAGAAAATCTTCAGTTCGTCATACAATCCAAACTAACGCTCAGATGGTTTATAAACTGTTGCCATCTCTTGGTTTAGTTAATTTAAGCCTTTTTCAGGCTTTTTTCAATCAATATAATATCAAAAGGTGGTAGTTCGGGTCGAGTAGCACGATTCAGTAGATAAAGGTTTATAACTTCACCGAGTGGACAATATCTTTCCAGAACATTTTACTGCAGTTTCAAATAGCTCACTGATAGGTTACACAAGAAACAGACAGTTATCCGAATAAACTATTAAGCACTTGTAAACTGTACAAGGCCTATATTTTCACTAGTTATGTTTAGAGTTATTAAAATAATAAGCAAACATATATTAATCATTTAATAGAACGTCAGACACAACCTGCACTGTGAAAGACACAAGTCGGTGAAACTGAAGGTGCATTTTTTATCTGTAATAAGATTTTACTAGTAAAAAACACCAATAATGGTGATACCCATTTGACAACCAGGGTGGTTGCATCATTGAAAATTTACTACTCATACTTTTTAAGTTAATTTATTACAATATGTTAACCCAAAGAAACCAAAGTCCTACTTGTGTATAGGTTATTCATTTTAGCACATGAATATAAGTACAAAGAGACACCAAAATATACAACAGACATACAATAAGAATTAAAATGTAAAGAGATAGAGAGGAAAGAAGGTAAGTATGAAAAAACAAGAAAGCAAGTGAAAATTAGTGAGTGAGGATGATAAACAAAAATAATAACGGAGGAATCAGTTCAATTAACAAAAATACAACTAGAAAGAATCTTTTCACCTAAAGGAGTTCCTCCTACTCATATGAAGAAGCAAAAGAAAATAACAGTACGGCCACCACTGGTTTCTATTCCGAGCCACGTCCGATAACGTCTTAAGTCACTGTATTTCACTTTATCTAGGACCTCAACCAGAGAGTCATGAATGACCGACAAACTCTAGTACAGCACAGCTTTCCTTCACAACCCAGCACAGTATCACTAAATGAACTGTGGTTACTGTACCCGAACACACATCGCCGAACCTCTGCATTACCAACATGGCATTCCCACTCAATGTCACCAACCCTATGTGGACAACGATGGTCAAACACAGAGAGTAACTTAACATCTTCAACTTGGACAGGTCGGGTTTTACATGCATAGAGCAAAACTGTTCTCACCAATGACTTGCATATTCGACCTTTTACAGCCAGACTAACATCACGAAGGCACCAAAGATGGCTCAGATTGGCATAAGCCACACTATCATTCACTATACACGAATTGATCTCATCACACACAACTACCCAAATACACAGGAGTCTCCACTACTTCCAGCTGCTCACTATCAATAGTGAGTCCAAGCATACGCTGCTGTCAATTTTGTGAGAGTACTTTGCACTTAAATGGCATAAAGCACATGCCATTACCTACAAACACTGATTGTCAAATGATTAAGTGCAGACTGTATGGCTTGGGTATCATCAACCACTAAGAAAATATCATCCGCATACTCACTGTCACAAAGTCTTTCTTCAAGTAACAGATCCACACCACTACCCACTTCCATCAGAGTTATTTCCAGAACGTCACCAATGGCAAGGTTAAGGAGGAATGGTGAGATAGGACAACACTAATTAACCCCACTGCTTAAATGGAAAAATAGAAAGAGGTGGTTGTATTCTCTCACTTAATATACCTCAGGTGTTTGTATACAGACCCTTCAATATGTCAACAAACTTCTCAAGAGCACTCTTCCTCAACAGACAATCTCACAGGAAAGTCCTGTCCAATGAGTCCAAGGTGATCCTGATATCAAGAAACACAACCATTCTTAGCCTGCAATAAATATCGCGTTGTTCTAACATTTGGTAGAGGGTTGGGATATCACCAATAAATCGTCGATCGGAGCGAAAACCGGTCTACTCCTCGTGTGTCAATCTTTTACAGGTCATGAACAATCTTTGATGTATGACGAAAGCCATTGGTTTGGACGTAACCGGAAGTAGACTTATCTTTCGATAGTTGTTGAACAAGTGACTTAGAACCTAGTAACTTATTGAAATCCAACCATCGTCAAAGAGAAGTATTCTCAATTTACAAACAAGTATGTCACAATCAATGCTACTAAAGTAAGTAATCTTTATTTTTGGAGCAGCCTTGAACAAAATTAATTGAACCTCTGTTAACATTTGGAATGCAATACGAGGCCAACCCGTGGACGGGGTTGAGCAAGCTCACAGCACCCGTCCGGAGGTGAAAAACACAGGTAATTTCATTGGTCTCAGTTTAGAGACCATTGCAGAAATTACACTGCAAAGAACAGATACTACACATGATTTTAGCTCAGATAGCCGAGAAGCGAATGCCCCCAAATGCCCTGGTACGGCCGAGAGTGGGGAGAGTCACCTCTCCCTCTCCAAATGCTCTCATATGGCCAGCGAACATATAGCCTCTACCAGGGAAGTCCTACTCACTGCCTTCTCGTGATGGGGGTGTTGTTCACGAAAGTGAGAGGACGAAAAGCGAATGTCCGGCACTTTAACCGGGTTGGTGGACACGGAGGGTCCACCTAGGGAAGTTGGAAAACCTTGATTTCAAACCAATGGTGCACATGGGCTCCAGTATCCTGAGGTAACAGATGGCGTACGAATCAACCGTTAATCACCGGCTACCATGGGACTGCATCTCCTCACGATGCTCCACTGCCTTATGGATCAGACATTCAGGTCAAAGGCTCCGGGTGTGGCCCCCTAAGAAAACCACCTGCTTCAGTCTGGGCACTTGAGCAGTATCACAGCCCTCACACAAATCAAATGAGATTTGTGAGGCGCATATTTATCTGGTGCTTCCTTGTACCAATATTTATGTGTTTAAATAATAAATAATAAAATAAAATAACATTTGGAATATTTGACTAAGGTGTAGTGCTATTAGTAGAAGTTATAAAATACTGGAATTAAATATTTATAAACTAGTTTACACAGTTTATTCTGAGCCTGATTTATGTTAACTGAAGTCTAGTTGATTAACATCACAGGAAAGTGCATCACTGAAATTAAGGAAAACCTTATATGAGCTACATTGTTATAGAGCTTAAGTTGAAAAGTATTTTGTCACTCAATTATTGCAATTATTAGTGGATTTCGCATTTAAAGTTGTACTTTGTTTAGTATTTCGTTGAGGACCACAAATAAGAGAATTTACTAACCAGAGTGTTTATTTCGTATGCATATACTTGCAGATTATTTCAGTACGAATTCCTGATTAACAGGAGGTATAAATAAAATAATAATTACGAACATTCCACGACATAAGTATAGATGAAACAACAATGTTTGCCTGTCACACAGTTTAAATACAACTCAGTAGTCACATATATATGATGAGTTGTATAGTTTAAAACTGTTACTTGTGAAGTCGTATATGTTGCGTAGTAATAACGAGGGGTATCATAAAACATAAGTAAAGGGGATTTTGGTAAAGGCATAAACATGACACACCAGATTTTCACACAAAACAGTTGATGAAATGGAACGTTTGGTTGATACATAGTAGCTACCAAAAAAGCAGTTGCAACCATAAGAATATCAAATTTAGTAACTACGCTAAGTTGCAACTTTACCAATCGTTGCTTAAATGCACTAATAACTTGAACGAAAGCAAAAACTCACTGAACCCAGAATAAATAAAATTAATTTCAAGAACGAAACATACGGAAAGAATACCAGCAAATACAATAAGTGATCCTCGTAGCATTTGCCAGATAGACGCATCGATATACAAAAGGCCAATACCTAACAGTAAAATAATTACAAGTTGAATACCTGCTAATGTTGAACCCAATAGATCACAACACGTTGGCAATATAAAAATCCAGTTGAAAACACTGTAAATGAACAGCCATTACATGGTCAACTCACGGTGTGCTTACTACGTTTAGACCTCTTGATTCTATGATACTGGCACTATAACCATGTAGTGTATTCCGTCTTTTTTTTCTGCACCTCATTACCAGAAAGGCAATAATACAAAAAGCCTCCCCAAAGAACATGAGCAAGGTCTGAAACCATGGTTTATTAAAATAATGAGGTGAACGTGTGTTATTCGCAGTATGATTGAAATATCCACTAGCACTGTTGAAATTATTGAATGTACTCCTGAGAAACTTACATGCAGTCAAGCTGAACCTTTTTGGAAATTGTGTTAATAGTCCCAGAAAAAAGCATCCCAAAGATCAAGACATACTGTTTCACGGAAAGGGCCATTGTAACAAGCCTCAAAAACAGACCGCTTTTAGTGAAGGTCAGGTTCGAGACTCAAACCTCAAAATTTGCTGAACAAATTAGTGAAATATTCACTGCTATAGGGTCTGGGTGTAATTGTAAAAGGTCGTTCGTGCTCATGATCAGATGTAATTCTTACTCATTGTATCACAACCTAAACGGGAATACTCACTTAATCGTCAGATTGTTTGAGCATCGACTTCTAGAATAATCTCCTACAGAGCCTTGTAACGTTCAGTCTTTGGTAGACTTGAACTTAGCCTAAAGGTACCTTGTGTGCCGGGAAATTGCTGGAACCCTAAGTAAGATTATTCAGAATAGATAATAAGAGAAAACAAAGCCGGCGACTTAATGAGCACACAGTATTCGCACTCATTTAATAACGAAAGTAATCTACAACAATCAGAAATAACGAGAACATGAAATTAAGATAATTTAATAATTGAAGCATTAGGTCGATGATGTAACGTCTCGAGCGAGTTACAGCCTAACGAACAGAAGTAGCGGCTGGGCTTCCTCTTGTGAACTTCATAGGAAGGTATCATTTCTGGTTTGAAATCTAACATCGTGTAAAATGCAATCACAAAAACATTTACACTAATTTTCATGTTTACTCTTCATCAAAATAGTTTGTTGAGACAAATGAATCCACAAAATGAACAGATCGGTAAGTCTTTGCCAATGACGTTCACCTCATTAGTTTCACAGGACACGCCTTAGCTGAAGGCGCTCGGTCACGCATCTGCATCAGATCATGAGTGGATACACATCCCTTTTAACTGCCAGCGAGCCTAAACCAAAAGCTGTTCAATATATCCAGAACTTTCAAAGCATGCCTTCGAACTTATTTATCCCTGATTTCTGTTTTAACTGAATTGGTATCTTTCACTCATAAAGGTTTTACGGACAAAAGTGTTATGAAACCCTGAATATCTGTAGCGGTACTTTCAAATCCCTAATAATTAAAGAATGTGACCCCTTGTAATCGTAGGTTACTCGTAACTGTTAGGGACCGTTCGTGGACAGACAGGTTTTCAGCACGTAAGATCATGTGCAGTAAGAAGTCTTAGATAGCCTTCTTATCGAGTTGAGGGAAGGCTCCTCAGCACACATGCTGTAGATCGCACCTCAAAGCTAGCAAATATTACCGTTTGAAATTCCAAGGCTTGTCGCCTTCATGGTATTTTAGTCCAGTTTTAAAGATAAAATTAAAGGCGATGACGGTGTGATAACGTTTACTGTGGGAAGCCGGGTCTGTCTGATCTATGATGTCATAAACAACTACCCGATACTTCTGGATCATAAGCCTGTTAATTAAGGCGAGTAGACAGACCATTATCCTCCATAGAAAAGGTAGGGGAGACATAATAGGTCTTAATTTCTCAGAGTTCTGCCGTGAGATTAATCATGCATGTCTTACCAGTAAGTTATGACAAATAGGTATTCACTCATTAGTGATAGACTGGCTTAGGTCATGTTTAAATAATAAACCTCTAAAACGAGAGATTTTTGGTTGCGTCGGGTAACGAGATTCCCTGTTGGGTATGCTAGAGTTTTACTCTCGAATACACGTTCGTTTTTGCTTCACATAAATAACATACCTCACCAGTTATCTCCTGAAATATAAATTTTGCTGCTGACTTAAAACTCTATCGAGGGTTTAGCTATCAAATTGACGAAGTAAAACATTAGGAGAACGTCTCTTGCTTTTAATGGTAAGCTGGACTTCAAATCTTCAAAGTGTGAAGCCTTCTATCCACACCATACTATAGGCTACAAACATGAGCGGCTCACCGTGTATTGCTTGATACTATGCCAAGCCTGCATGGGTTAGTCTAGCTTTTAGATAAACCAATTTATTCATTCTTCCCAAGCCATATGTTGACCATGTTGATTGTCGACTAGTTAAGACTGATTTTTCATATGATCGTATGTATGTGCATTGCTTACTCTATTCGTTGCGTGTCTAGAACTTGTTTTTCCCTGACTATAAATGCTGAGTCATATTTGATTAAGTCCAATTGATTCATTCGTTTTCTCCACTGGGCGTCACATCGTTTCGATTCTCTTGGATTCCCTCACCTATTTTCCCTGACTGTTTGTCTGGATCAATGAGTGTATGAAACATACGTATTCAAAATTCGTTACCGTATTTGGCTTGCTTTACTCCGCTATTCTTTAACATGAATTAAGTCGATAAAAGTAAACGACGGTTGGCGGCATGCATAATTCGATATAACTGATCGTCCTACCTAAATGAAGTCTAACTAAAGAGCCACTGAAAATTCTAGATCGATAAAAATGTTGTCTTGGTTCCATAGAATCTAAACTCTTATGCTACCAGTGATTTAAATCCCTTGAGAGCCAACCTTACACTTGTCACATGAGGCCTATTTTTGATAGATCCAATCGACAAATTTTCGGCCCAATTTCAAATTTTAATTACAGTCTACATGGAGCATGGGTATGCCGTTTCTTTTTTCACCATCAAGGGAATCAGGATACTCTGAAGCATACTGAAAGGTCAGCCTTGAAATTCATTATGGGAGTGAAATTCAATTCTTCATTAGCCACAAAAAGAAAATTGTGAGATGCACCTAAAGTATCAAATAGAATATTACCAACGTATTCGGATGGTGCAAATGCTGAATATATAATAATTCAGTCACTATAAGGTTTACAAACCATAGAAAACTCATTAGAGGACAGAATGCAAGGATGTCATATAATTTGCGACTATGGTTAAATCGAGGTGCTAGTATTTTGTAAATAATTAATTTGAAACTAAATAACGGCGAAACCTTGATCCGAAGATTCGAATAGGCAAGTTTCGCTCGTTTATTGCAAATCTACCAAAAATTATTTTACATGATGGTCACAATATTAAGTCCGTCTAGGCAAGGTGTTCCAGACGGCCTGTCATGACAGAGAAAAGACAATAGGTTCTATCTGGAGAGTAAACAAGGAAGAGTTTCCAAATGTGATTAGGGAGAAATAAACGAAAATTGTCAGGCCTCACTATAAGGCGAGGGCTAAACTGGAATCCTGATGAAAGGGGAAAACAGACAAACCAAAGAACCCGTTGGAGTGAGTATGGGAAGCAGACTGCCAGGATGTTAATAGCGCATTGAAATAGCTTTTGTCTTTTTTCTCCTTTGAGAAGTGGGTTGTTTAGCGAATATCACATGTTTGTGTGGAATCTTTTTAAGTCATGCTTTTATTTCTACTGAAAAGAATTTTGAAACTAGAAGGGGTGAGAGTTTACTATTTATGGATAAACGGTAGCGTAAAATATATCTGCCTAGAACTGCTAAATCAAGTAACACATGAAGATTTGAAAATCAAATTAAAATATTGCTTAGTGCATCGCATAGACATATTCGGACTCGTGATTAGCAAGCAAATGCGTATATTTTGGAGTTGACGTTTTAACGTCTTAGGCCGGCATCATCATCATCATACTAATGCCAGTAATTCCGAGCAAGGTTGTCAGACCATGGCGATCGTAGCGGTATTGCTTTATTCCAAACTTTAGGAAAACGTCAAGAGAAACTTGGAGATGATGTGGAAAGCATAGAATTCCTTATGGATACGGGAATCGTGGTGGGTGATTTCGTGTATCTGGCGAAAACACACTTAAGTATAATCCACTTATTTTTGGAGATTGTTTACAGGGTGAGCATGCTGATAGTTCCAGCGGAGGTTCAATGTGATACCAGTAGTACAATGAAATGCGTTCGCATATGAGCTGTCATACTCAAACCAAACTGTTATGCTGTTGCTTAATATATAAACTTAATACAGTTACCCCAGACGAAGTCTTTGAAAAATTGCGTTTCAAAATGAGAAACCTAGCCATGATCACATGTTTCTCATTAGGAGTTGTGCTCATCTGTGATGCGTACCAAGTAAGTGATAGCAACTCTTCAGTGGATAGCCTTAGGAAAGACCTGATGCAATCATATACTAACTCATGCATTGACACTTTCTACTAGGTTGAGCTTTATCTGGTTCAAGACTCAGATTATCTGTTATCTTCAGTTACTCATTACTACTACACCTCTGAATTTTCCTATTGTTTGAGTTACTAATTTCTCCTGATCATCGTCGTATGTTAGCTTATTCAAGTTAAAACATTTTATTTTGCTACCCTTTCAACTATGGTCGACCAATTTTTCCCTGATGATTTAATAATTTGTGGTTTCAGAAACCCTACTACTCTGAAGCAAACCTACCCACTCAGATTACAAGATACACAGACCAAAAAATAACTACTGAAATGACCTAAAATATTGGAGTCAATCAAATACAATCGGCTCTCCGAGCGTCATTATTGACCTGAAACCGTAACGAAACTAGCAGAAGTGATCATATAAAAAAGTCATTCGTCACAAAAAATCTTTGTATATTGAACTGCGATATACAGATAATACTATATGTACGAAAAATCTATTACTGCTTCTCGTACCAGATCATAAAACCTGTCTTTATTATATAAGTAATAACTGTCATTTCAATCGTTTTAGAGTACTAAGGACGATAACCTACGACCTTGCAACTGATTTAACTACATCAGAACGTCTGAAAGATGCATGGTTAGTGTAATTATTCTCATTTATTATGCCGTCAGAGCGTAAACATGTGTTTCCTCTCAGTTAAAATAAATTAAGTGTAGCATAAATTGGTGTTTGTGTAGCTTTTTAACCGAAAAAACCAGTTTTCGGCGGTTTATTGTATAATTATTAAGGATCATGTAAAATTCCACGAAAAATTAAATGAAGTCGGAAATTTAAATACCGATTTCTCTGAGCCTATGAAAGACTCTGTATCACTCCAGCATTCCTTTCAACAGTTGTAGGTTCTTAAAAATGTATTCGAATTTCCTCAGTGAAGTTCACTTCTCTAAAAAAAAACTAGTTTTCCTCGCATTGTTCACAAACCATATTGTTTCTTGTCCTAGATACACTGTTGTAGTTAAATGTTTCACACACTAAACTAATCCGAAGACAATATAGATACGTACGTAGATGATATATCCACTATGTTGGCGACAAACTTGTATTAAGTAATCACGTTCATTAGCTTAGCAGCACTGAGGTAAGATTTGTTCGAACAATATAGTGCGTATATCCTCAGTGTGATGCT